TTAGATCTCATCAAAAGGTGTTTGTCAGTAATTATCATTTCCAACGTTCACTCGTTGTGTATTAAGTTAATGAGTCTAGACACTTATCAACTTGTTTAACAAATATGAAAACATTCGTAAAGCTTGTTATTTTTAGTTAGTGATACTGAGAATTGAATTTTGATCAGCTTTTTTTGATGAACGTCAATCTTTGTACAGTAATAAAATACAAAGCAACACTGAAACTTCCGTTCTTGACATAGCTATGCAATGGTAAATATTGATTACGAGGAAACACTAACCCCCATCAGTCATAAATAACACAATATAAACAACATTTTTGACTATCTTAGTTAACATTCAAAGAAAAATTTGATTTAACGCATATCTTGAACTTCCTTCAGCTAAATAGTCTTGAAAAACAAGATGTTACTGGACTTTTCATCAACGAGCACTGCTAATCCATTCTATAAAAGATTTTTTACACTTTTATCGCGTAACCTGAATTTTTTAAAGTGAAGACTAATAGACAGAATTGATCAAACTAAGTCGATAGGTTTGGTTTCTAACAACTGTACTCAAAGCATTAACTGTATTCATAAAGAGAAATTTTCAGTTTGTACATGCATCTCAAGTGTTATGTTAATGAAATTTTTTAAATAAACCATCACTTCTGAACCAGAACAGTTCCCAGTTAGAAACATAATTTCTCGGATAATAGTAGCATGCATGAATATACTCTCGCTCGGAAATAACTTCACGTAATTTAACGATTCAGTCATTTTCTTTTTAATCTACTTCTGTCTATCATATATGAATCATGGTTATTACTAATTTAGACTAGAAACATTTTGAAAACAACGAATCTTTGTCAGTTGTTGTCAAAATAAAGAATTTCAATAACACTGTTGAATTAAAGTTTAAATAATCATTCACATAAAGCCTGATATTATTATTATTCTTCACGGTTATTAGTATGATAATGAGTTGATTTCTCGACAGCGTGTTATTGTTTATTCAAATAATTATTGTTTTGAATTTCTTTGAATTCTCAGTTCAATTATAATTTTGTTTTTTACAAATATACTGTCCGATGATTGATAACTTATCACTTAAAATCAAAAAAGATTTGTTTTTGAATAGTTTAATCGAACTAAACCTATTAACTTTTATGGACTCGATGAATTTTCAACGAAATACTTGACAAATTCATCATGTTATCTGAAAACGTTGTCAACAGAGAATGATCACTTGTAAGTTCTAAATTGCAACAGCGAGAGATGGTGAAATTTTGCATCTGTACCCAACATCTCGTAGACAAACTTTTTGACATTTGAACTGACAGTTAACATGTTCAAGTTTCAGTGTTCACATTGATACTTGAACACAAGTATGTTTAACTTATATGCTCCTAATAAAATATAAACATTCCCATCCTGATTGCCAATGCTATCCATAATACAAAATATAATAAAAATTAATTATTCATACTTTATTTAAAAAATAAAAACAACTTGATTAGTATATAATAATTGTTGTTATTTGTTTTGTTTTTTTTTTTATCTTGCTTTACTTAAATTTCTTTTTCAAATGAAACATAATTATAAACTGAAAACAAAAGGAAAAAAAGCAACAAGAAACAATTGAATCACAATAGTAGCTGAAATAAGTTGTGTAATAATTGAGCCCTGCTCGAATTGTATCGACAAGAAAAACAAACAAAACTGATCATAGCAATAATGCTAAGACAATGAATGATGATCAGTGAGACTTAATAATAAAGGATAATAATGTACAACAAGGGAATTCGCTTTCTTTTTATGTCATAATTTCAAATTAGTATCATCTTGTATGATGCCATTTTTAATAAACAGTATAGAAGAAGAGAACATCGAAACAACAGTGTACATGTAAAGTAGCATGGAAGGATTAAAAACAAAAAAAAATCAAATCTTTAAATATTAACATTTCATTGAACATTGAACAAGTAAGACGAAGAGAACAAACATGAAAACAAATCAAGCGTCGAAAGCATACAAACAAAATTAACATATATATACACCAGCACACACACACACACTTATAAATGTATTTCAAAGAATATATGGTCGAACATTATTTCTCGAGAGAGAAAAAGAGAAACACATTGAACTAACAACACATCATAACAGACGAGAAAAATTTAATCCTAGAGGCATTTTATGTATTTATTTACGTAGTAGTACAGTGAATTTCATTATATGCATATTGAATAAATCAAAAACAAAATATTCACTCAAAATATTATAAAGGCTGATAAGATCTCATTAACAAAAAAAAAATTGAGTAACAGAAAAAAAAATAGACAGTTAGAAAGTCAAAGTAAATATGAATGAACCAGTAATAACAATAACAATAATAATAATAATAATAAACAAAAGTTCAACAATGTCTGTCTGCCCTTGCAAAAAAGATTAAAATTGTTAAATGCAAATTCACCACCACATTGGGCAATGATAATGAGAATTGGTAACAGCAATATTTTGGAAATATATAATATATATATTTTTATATCAACCGAAAAAATAACAATAACTCCATTCATGTTCACTTTTAGTTTTTTTAATAGTAAATCCAAAATCAGAATTTCTATCGGGTTTATACAGTGATTTTCATTGGTCCGATATATATATTTTTTTAAAAAACTTACTTCCTCTCCTCCATTTTGACCTTGATTATCGTTTGTTTTGTTGATTTGTTGTTTATTGAAACATTGTAAACATGGAGTACTGTAGTGGCAAAAACAACCACAACAACAACCACAACAATGATGATGATGATGATGGTGATAACAACGAACACGCTTTTATCATTTCAACAATCAACACCGACAAAGAAACAGTGAAGATATGATAGACAATTTCCTTTTTTCAAATTAAAATTAAAAAAACGAAAAGCCAAGAGCAGGACACAAAATCAAACACAAATAAAAAGCAGAGAACCTGAATAAAAATCATGAATAATATACATGGCATCATAATAAGTTTTGTTGATATAAAGAGAATTCGCTTCTCAGTGAATATAATGTCTAAAAAGAAATTTCGAATATAGGAATGAATAACAGGCGAAGTGTTCAAAGTTTATTTCATGTAAAAAATATGAAATTTTGTTGATGTATATAAAAAGTGATATAATTATTTTTTTTTAAGGAGGAACCAAGAAAAAAGTCTACACAAAACAACGAAGAATCATCATCAATGTTATTTTTTCTATGATTAAAAACGAAGAAGTTGGAAATGAAAATGGGAAAAAAATTATAATTCATAAAAAGAGAAGAAATCATTCCATTCATTCGAGTTCTATGTGTGTATCAATGCATATTTTTACATAAACAATGTAACATTTCATTAGAATATACAACCTAATAAACTTGAGTAGAAACAATATTAATAATAATAGTTAGTAATAATCGGTAAGCAAAAAAAAAATCAACGTAAAAAGCAAACCTAAGCCGAAGCATTCATAAGTTATCAATGTATGTGTGTGTGCGTGTGTTGTATTTGGTGTGTAAATGTGTATTCACTTGGCCTATCTAGAGAGATGAAGCTGAGAGAAAAAAAATTAATCAGTTTAGAATAATGATGATTGAATTTTGTTGATTAATTAATAGAATGGAATATGCTGAGAAGAAAAAGAACAGGCGCGCGCGCGCGCGCTCACACACACACACACGCAAACACTCAAACGTAAATAATGAAAGAACAATGTGATAAGCAAATATAACCGAGTCGACTATTTACACAAAACATCTGAACATGTATGCGTATATCAATTTCTTTTTATAGATTGTTTGATCTATAGAACAAAAAAATAAAATAATTCCATAAAACAGCACGAATTTACGAGCAAAATTAATCAAGCTGACTGAACAATGATTTATGCATACATCCTACTGATAGCAGGAGACAGAAATAAGAAGAAAGAGATAGAGAGAGAGAGACATTTTTGCCTAAGAATAACATTATTCATTCACTGCTCAATGATGACTTATCCAATAGTTGTTGATATTACAATAACATTACAATAACAATGGTAAAGAATGACCTAGTAATTTGTTCAATTCCAACTTATGACATAATCCATTATGACTGATCCTAGCCTGAGAAATTCAAATCAAACAAAAAAAATCAGAATGAAGAGAAACAGAACCAAAAAGTAAGGTAAACACACAAATTTGCAACATTTAAAACCAAAGAAGCAACTGAATGTGATGTGAATCAAGCTGATTGTGATCCGTTGGATTAAAGGGGTGACAAAGTTTCAAAGAAAGAAAGCAGGAAAGCAATCGATCAATAAATATACACAGCTTCATAGCATATTGTTTTTCTTTTAAAAAATTTAACTGATAACATTCCATACACACAAGGCAAAATCGCACAGATGTGTAGAGTGATGTATATATAATGTTTCGACATGATTATCATCTGCGCAAGCTAAACTAATCTCACTATTATCCACTGAACTGATACATAAAGATAGTTAACTGAAAAAATCATAATATTCATCGATGTAGTCAAACAAAGGAATACATAAACATGATTAATAAATAAAAATGTTAAAGAAAAAACAGATAAGCTACAAAGCCCAAAGAAGAGTACAAAGAATCAGAGAAAGTTTTCTTGACCCTATACTCATTGTGAATTTTACGACTAATAGACAAACGCACACATAGACAAAGCAAACTGAGAAGAGAGATTTAAAGAAGGTGATAGAAATAAAATTTAGGAAAAACCGAAAAAAGGCTTTTTGCGGAAAATAAGTGATTTCCAAGGGGAAAATTGAAAGACTGTGAATAATCTATCTATATTACAATACATTGCATAATATGCAAAATCATATGGAAAATACAACATGAAACCAAACAATACACATTTGTGTATAAATATTAAAGGTGCATAATACGGAAATAGAGTAGTTGTAACAATTGAAAGAAACGATAAAGAAATCGTTGCAAAAAAAAGAAAACAAACACTTTTTTTATTTCAATAAGGTCTTCGTTGTTCTAATTCAGAAACTACCCAATCCCATCCATTGTCTTTAATTAAATGAGCTAATTCAATGATATATTTGCCTTCTTTATACTTTTGACTAGATTCAAACGCTTGTTCATATTTCCAACCTAATACTGTATGACAACAATCACAGTAGATATCTGCCACAGAATGGAGACCTGTACATTGTGGACGGGGGGAGGGAGGAGAAAAAAACAATAATAATCATAAAAATTAATAATTTAAAAGGTTTGTAAGAGATTATTGAACACTGAACTGTTAAGATAACAAAGAAGTATATGTTTGCCGTAAAAAAGAAGTCGGTGGTTTCGACTGCCCGAAAGAAGCCTTTGTTTATGAAGCTACAATTCAACGGAGATGTGGCCTGCGATACTCTGCAAGATAGATTAACAAGAGTAATTAATAGAACATTCAACGCTGCCAAACTTGCATTGACATTCTCCTGTCGACCAGCGATGTCTACTCAAACGAAGGATAAGTTACCTGAGTTGGCCTCCTCTATGTGCATTTACAAATTCAGCTGCTCCTGTGGAGATAGCTATATCGGGCGTACTTCCAGGCAACTTACACAACGAATGAGTGAACATCTACCAGCATGGTTTACAAAGGGTCAGTCAAAAACAATACGCAGTTCTATCTTAGCACACCTGGTAGATAGTGGTCACATTGTAGATAAATCTAGATCTTTTCGGGTGATCTATCGTATACCTCCATCATTTCCCAACGGAGTTCGATCCCGTCTCCTACACATTGCAGAAGCCATAGGAATACGCACATTCAACCCTAATTTATGTGTTCAGAAAAAATTCGTGACACCCCTATCTCTTCCGTGGCCGGATATGACGTAACTAACGATTGACATTATATATATATTTTATTTATTTTAATTTAATTTATTATTTTATTATTTTTACACATCTGCTTATTACGTAATGTTTTTGATGTTTTTTGATGATTATTTGAATTCTATTCATCCACCTTTGACCTACTTTAGTTATCATATTTTATAAATTTTCCTACTACTATCGGTTCACCTACCTTCCTACTATCCATTTGTACCTTTGCCTTTTTCATTTCATTGTGATTATCACTGAAATTGCCTTGATTGGTTTAACATTTTCATACATAAATATTCATGTATATTAGAGTAAAGCCTGATGACGATCTAATTGAAAACAATATTATTCGCTTATATTGTGTTGTTCTAATATTGTAATCTATCTTTATCTATACTACCACCCAGAAAATTAGTCAATACTCATATTAAACAACCAAAAAAAAAACAATTATCATAAAACTCTTTCTCACAGAATTAACTAAGTACACAGAATCTCACAAAGTTATTTAGTTAATCAAATAAATTTTCATTATATACAAAATTGCAACACAATGATGAATAATGGACTAGATAAACAAACAATACAAGAAACAAGAAGAATATTATTAATCACCTGGAGACCATTTTGCAAAACAACAACAACCGTTACCATAGATGCAATAACTAGAGTATGTATGTACTGGTTTTCAGTTATTAGTAACTGTGATAGTCATTGAGTAAATTAAATAAACTTCTAAAATTATACATATATATTTAAAAACATCCTCATGTTTCAGCATCTATTCACTATATTCAAAATTTTTTACAAATTAGCTATAAAAAGCTACGATCTACAACAAACTAATAACTAACGTCATTGGGAATATTGGATCAATTACGTAACATGTACATTTATTTATACTTACAGGATTAGAGAAAATTTAGTACAGAATAATTTTTTTTCTAACAAAAGAGGCATGTAAATGAGAAAAGAAAAACTCAGTGACGAATAAAAAAAAGTCTTTTACAATGTGAGAAATGAAATGAGATATCATTATCCATTATATTATTGATCGCATAAAATATAGTCAGTATGCATTTATCCGTTGATCACTGTTTAATAGTATTAGATCTAATAATTCAATAACCAAAATACAAAAGTCTGCTACACCCAGCCATTACTAATAATACTACTCGATTGCCTTATTCATTTAGTAGTAAAAGAGTAACAAGGGGTGTAACCACTAACTATGATATGCAATCATTCCACAGGTTGGTAAATGACCCATGAAATATCAATATAATAATCATGTACGTTGTGAATGAATTTCAACCATATTTGTCTTGTTGTGCAAAATAGTTTTCTTTAGAATAGTGTGGATTTTTTTTTCATTTATAAAAGGAATCATATTTTGCCCAATTAGTTACTCTGTCTCCTGATATCCGTATCAGGAAATTCATATTTGTGAGAAATTATCACTTGGCCACCACAACCACCTTATACACTTGATTGAATCGATCAGCATAAAATTATACAAACTCTTATCGATGCTAGAGAAAAATCCCAAACCCGCTATCCAATAATAGAAAAATGAAAATGTTTTTTTAGGAATAAAATCATTAAATCCTACTATCCACCGATGATGTTCATGATAGAACTGATAACAAAGAAAAGATACAAGGCGATGAAAGCATTCAGCAATTACATTGCATAACTACTTACAAACATGATATATTTATATACCACGAAAAGAAATACATTTATGAACTATGTTGTGTAACTGCACGAATCAGAGATGGTATTTATCACAGCAACCTTAAATTCATATAGTCTACGCCTACTAATACAACTCAGTGGTAAGTTTATCGAGTGTTTTTTAAGTCTATCTCTCATTTAATTCTGCCGAATTGACAGTGCCTTCGTCTACAAATCTGTTTTTGTAATGTTTATTGTAAACAACATCATTAATAAAAGTCCTGGGAATACGGAGTAGAGTTATCAATTGTATAAACTAATTGTATAAATTAACATATGGTACATAATATTTGAAAATTTAACCCTCAAAAATCAATACGATTTAATGTTTAAATAAAAATAATTACACTAGAATAAGCACTTATAGTTGTTTTATAATGCGTAAAAACAACAGTCGGATTGTTTCCAGGATTTGGTGACAATCATAATCATAGGTAAAGCTGGTAGAGAATTAATCAAATGTATGCACGTACAAACAATCATACCTGCATACTTGTATAAATATATATATATATATATATATATATATATATATATATATTAATATATATGTACTGCTGCTCAAAACAACTAATAATGTAATCCGTATGGATAGGACTATGAAAACTTTCTACTCTCTACAATAAATTCAGTCTTTATCTAACTTCTCTAACTAATGTATCCCTTCTCTTCAAAATCTCATTAAACCTTTAAGTAATGAAAACCAAAATAATGATTAGATTGTCAATAATCAATATTTGAGAAGTGTTCTATGTTTAATTTTTAGCATATATATATATATATATATACGCATGCATTTATTTCAAACTAAGTAAGTTATCACCATTAGTTCAATCATTATTACTACGCTAATAAATTGGAGTATGGCTAAATAACAATGGGAATGATAAAATCAACTATATATATATATATATATATATATATATATATATATATATATATATATATATATATATATATATATATATGAAATTACCATTAGTAGTGGTAGTAGTAGCAATGAGAAAAATGTTTCAGTCACTATAGTGACAGGAAAACAAGTCGAAAAACATTGATGGTTGTGAACAAGAAACAAAGATTTATTTGTATGCACATTATTATACTAAACATTCATTATTTTAGTAATAAGCATCCATATTGTAGATAAAAATAAAATTGATGAATTAATAATTACTGGGTTTGCACATCTACTTATCGATCGATACCATATAAATTTACGATTGATGAATGGATAGATAGAAAGAACTGGGCACTTGTTTCATTCTACTATGTAACAACTGCTTAACAGTTCACACCTGCAGGCCGTCTCAGAGATGAAAGCCAGGAGCTGAGGCTTTTTGATTGATGTTCAACCTTTATACTACTGGAGTGAAATACAATACTATATATTCTCAACTTTAGTCAATTTGTGGAATAGCTATACGACCACCCAGTATGATTAATAAGGACTGTTTCATTATAAACTGTTCATAACACTTTAAAATCTTGCAAAACTCATCTCAAAGCGAATCATTGGTAAGTAAACGATTATAGTAATCTTGAAAGGGTTTAGAATGCTTGGAATTCGACGTGTTATTCACCACACATTAATCTCAGTTGAAGTTATCATTGAAAATCAAGGACTTCGGGACAACTATTTTGTCCTACTATTAGACTCCTTATACATTGAAGAGTCGTCTAAAAGGACAAAAAAGTAACCGAGTACTTTTTTATTTTTAGTATGTACTTCACACAAATTAAAAAAACTTCTGAAAGATAAACAGACAGACAAATTATATAAAATCACCTACAAGTTTTGATACAATAATCATTATCAACCATTAAATTGATAAACTTCTGTTCTTTATCCTTGGTATTGTATAACTTTACTAAAATAATTTTTATTATTTTAGAAATTATAACTTGCCTACAAATTAGTAAAAATACCAATTCAATGTTAACTGAGTAAGAAATCCTTGTAAATTAATTTACCAATTTTAAGAAATTGTTTAATGCATCAGTTATAATTAAATTGAAGGGATGAATACTATTTATTGTATAGTAAATTAAATTTCTAAAAAATGCTAACCAGAACAAATAATTCAACCAATTAAACTACCTCCTAGCAGTTGGAAGGTTTTCATTTAGAAGAGTTATCACGACTCATAGTGAAAGCCGAGTTTGTTCAGAAGTCACGAGACCGATGTCCCTACTCACAACCACAGAAACAATTAATACAGGCACGTGGAGTGTTCCCAAAATGTGAGAGACTGGACGAACCATTCAAATTGCTGCAGAAATAATATAACCACCTGATACTTGGAATAAGCGAAACATATAGGAGGCATACTGAACGTCAGGAGAGATGTTTTTTGTACTGCGACCATGAACGAGAATTTAATGCCTTACATGCATAAGTAGTTGTACTGAAGCTGTAAAAAGAAGCACAAAAGCACTTAGAGGATGAGAGTTTCATTTACTAGGATCATTAGAGAATCCTTCAAGACAAAGAAAAGATCACAATGAACGTAATTCACTAAAGTTTGATACGGTATCTCTTCAGGAAACTGATAAACTCAACGAATTCAAAATGACTCTCAACAACA